TGAGTAGTTTCCAGTCTTCCCAATAAAAATCAGTGGTTCTTCGGAGACGAGAGTCCAGCCATTGCTCCTCGGCAGGACCCAGCCTCCCCAGAGCCCCGTCTTGCACGGGATACACGCTCCGGGAGCGTTTGCTAATTGCTTCGAGGGCAGGTATTTCCCCAGAGTTTGGGGCCATCCCTACAGAAAAGCTTCTGGCACTTTCTGAGTGACACAGCATCCCATAAACTCCAACTTTGATTGGCTAAGACTATAGTTGGTCACTGGGGAGAAGGGGAGACTATAAGGAACTCTGTCGTCGGTGCAGACACGCACAGCAATGTTTGTTTTAAAGTCACCGAGCGTGCTTCCTGCCCAGCCCATTCTGCCAAGCTGCTACTTACTTATCCCTGAGACCTCTCCTCCCAGACAAGGTCAGAACCTCTTCTTGTATCTGTTCTGGTCACCGGGAAGCATCCTTGGTAGCACTTATTCATAGTTTATGTGTATTCGGGTGATGCTTAACCGCCGTTTCTTTTCTTTGCATCGCATCTGTGCTCTTACTTAGCAGGCTGCCTGTCACACAGTAGGCAATCAATAAGCACCGGCTGAAGGATGAAATGAATGCTTTCCCATCCCAGCCGATAAACAGGAACCTCCCACCAGTGGTCTTGTTAGGGAATTGCTCAGGGGGTGGGGTGCTGGGCTGATTCACGCTCCCTGGGAAAACCAGAGGTCAGGGTAGGAACCTGGGGGACCGGCAGGCCGGCTCTGGCGGTTGCAGCTGGAGTGACGGCGCCAAGTGAGGGAGTAGCCGCTGCGGGTTTCCCCTGCTCTGCCCTGTGCAGTTCCCGTCCTGCACTGCCATCTCCAGGGCACTGGGCGCTCTCCAGGAGGATCACAATGGTAGCAAACTTGGCCAGGAAATGCAAAATCACCCTCATAATCAGGGTTTTTGATCCGAGAAAGGTCACAGCCCTGGAGAAGCGTGTGCTCATCAGTATTCCTCCTTGGCTGTGCAGTGGTGACACCGGCTGCCCGGCTCTTCGGCCGTGAGCCAGCGAGACCGCAGGGCCAAGACAGGCCGGGCCTCAGACCAGAGCCTGTCCCAGGGTGACGTGCTTGGCAAGCACTCAGGAGCTTGTAAAATGCAGATTCCAAAGCCTCAGGCTGGGGTGGGGCCTGGGAGTCTGCATTTCTGGCAAATCCCAGCTGCTACAGTTGATCCTCGATATTTCAAATGTGGTCCAGGGGCCAGCAGTACTTGGTCTTTTGTGTGTGTGATACACTTCTTATGTCTAAAGTCAGAAAAAAGGGTAGAGGGAAGGATAATATTCCAGGAATAGATAGATATGTTGATATTGAAAGCATTCATGGATTTTCTCCAAATTTGGGGGGTGGGAAGGAGCAGGAGGAAGATGAGCCAAAACAAGGTTTAAAACTTCTGAACGGGGCTGGCCCTGTGGCCTAGTGGTTAAGTTCACGCGCTCCGCTGCAGGCGGCCCAGTGTTTCGTTGGTTCAAATCCTGGGCACGAACGTGGCACTGCTCATCAGACCACGCTGAGGCAGCGTCCCACATGCCACAACTAGAAGGACCCACAATGAAGAACATACAACTATGTACCGGGGGGCTTTGGGGAGAAAAAGGAAAAAATAAAATCTTTAAAAAAAAAACAAAAAACTTCTGAACAAATAATTTGGCGGGGAGGAAAAACAGAGACTTTAAAAAAATGGATGCCTCGGTAAAGATATCCCCTCTCACTATTAACTAATGTCACAAACGGCATTAATGGCTAAGCTGCAGCAGAGAACCGCCCCCAAGTCTGGGATCGTGATCAGATATTTGCAGCGCATTCAGGAGGAGCGGCGCCTGGGACCCCGCCAGTTCCGCAGCTCCGCTGGTGGGGGACAAGTCACGTGACATACGCAGACGGGGATTTTTCCTGTGGGACCCTCAGGACCCATGGCTCCGGCTGGACCCCCACGCTGCTGGCTGGCGGTGAAAGAGCACTGTGGACACCCTGCAGTTATGCTCTCTGAGGTCTTCATTCTACAGTCGACCATGGGTGCCACTGAGGGAGGGTGATGCCACCAAAGGGTGTGGCCAGCCTGGCCCCCAGGCCATGCCCCCCTGGCAACATCCTCACTGCCAAGCACACAGCAACACTGCTCTCCCCAGACAACGGGCATCATGAAATGGCCTCTTTTTTCTTATCCCGATTTTCCCTTTCTTCTCCATCCTCCCTTCTCCCGCCCAATAATTGTGTCTACTCTGATGCTCTGTTATCACTATGAGTCTCCTTGGCTCCTTGAAGAGAGGAGGTATGATGTAAACAAACACACATATTTTAATAAGAATTCCTCGCAGTGGTACCAGTGGGATCCCACAGTCGAGGAAAGCCTCACACTTACCACCTCTTTAACTCATGATAAGTTTGGGAGGTGGGGGAGAGGACTGTCGTTGGTGGAAAACAACCCCGTCCACGACCTGAATCCGGGCACTCTCTCCCAGAGCCTCTATTTCCCGTTCTGTAAAATGGGTCTAAGCACTCCCGTGAGGACCGAGTTCACGTCTATATAGTATTTGGCGTGTTGTACACGCTCATCAAGCGGCAGTGGGGGACACGGAGTGTACCCTGCAGAGTGAACACCGAGTTAAATCCGTAGATTGATTCCTGCGGGCTCACACGGGGCTGGATGCTGCAATGCGGCCGTGAATGAGACAAACAAGGTTCCTTGGAAGAGGGCGAGACAGACAATAAACCATAATCAGAGACAGCGATAAGGGCTGGGAAGGCAATTAAACAAGGTCACGAAACAGAGGGGACTGTTCCACAAGGCCTCTCTGAGCAGCCACCTGAGCCAAAACTAGGTCATGAGAACTCTAAGCCTGAAGCTTCCCTTCCATGTGGCTGGAGCGGAGGAGGACAGGAGAGATGCGGGAGAGAGGACCAGGGTACGCAGGCCCAGCCCGGGATCTGCTCTGTAACCTCGGGCAGGTCACCCCACCAGGACGCATCACTTTCTCTTTCTCTATCTGTAAAAAGAGCTAAGATCACCTTGCCGTGATTTTAAAACATGGCTCCAAGAACCGTTGATGCTCCTCCCCTTGAGGGGTGGGTCTGTGTCCCCTCTCCCTGAATCTGGGCAGGTTTCCCATTGCTCCAACCCACAAAGTATGAGGAAAGTGGGACTCTGTGGCTTTTGAGGATGACTCCTAAAAGGCCATGTCGTTTCCGCCTGGTTCTCCTGGGAGCCTTGTCATGCGAGAAGTCAGTTACCCTGAGCCCACTAGGCTGAAGAAGCCACAGGTGGGCACTCCCAGCCACAGCTCTATCTGAGCTCCCAGCTGACCGGCAGGGTCACCTGCCAGCCATGTGAGTGAGCCGACCTGGACCGCCAGCCCATCCAGCCTCGGGACGCCTGCACCCCATTGCATGAGACCCCAAGGAAGAGCTGCCTCGCTGACCCCTAAATGAACTCCTGACCCACCCAGCTGTGAGCCAAGTAAAACGATTGCCTCACACTAGCAAGTCTGCAGGACACTGTTCCATAGCTATAGGAACGGGAGTCCCTCCCTCTCTCTCTGGCCTCATTCCGTGTACCTCTCCCTTACTCGCTCGTTCGTTCGCATGCTCCCACCACCTGGTCTTTTTCCATTTGTCAAACACACAGAATGGCTCCAGCCTCAGGGGTTTTGCTCCAGCTGTCTTCTCTCTCCAGGGAAAACTCCCCTCTCCCCGACTCCCAATCTGCCATGGCCGTCTCCTTATCTTGTACGCCTCAGATCAAACAGCCGCCCCTCAGCGAGTTCTTTAGAATCACCTGATCTAGATTAGATGCCCTGCTTCCCAGGCGCTATCACATTGCCGTGCTTTTTACAGCAGTTAATACCATCTGAAATTTTTCTGTGTGTTTTTGACTCTGCCCTCTGCCACAATACAAAGTCCATGAGAGGGGAGTCCTCGCCAGTTTAATCACCTGTTTTAATCCCCTGCTCTTTATATAACGCCTAGCATACAGTAAGCACAGATAAATGTTTATTAAATTAATGAGTCCATGAGGAGGAAAGAGCCATGAGAAGATGAGAAGGGCAAGCATTTCTGTCGGAGAGAATAGCAAGGAGCAGCCGTGAGGTGTGGATGGTATGTTCTAGGGAAGAAAGGCTGCTAGTTGGGGCTGGAAGGGTTCAAGATGGCATAGGCAGGAGTGAGAGAGGCTGGGGTCCTTTAGAACCACCAAAGGATATCGTCAGGCTTAACGTGATCTGATGCGGAGGCGGATAAAATACACGTGACATACAGTTTACCATTTTAGCCATTTTTAAGTGCAGGGTTCAGTGGCATTGAGCACGTTTACATTCTTGTGCAACTATCACCATCATCCATCTCCAGAGCTTTCCCATCTTCCCAAACTGAAACTCTGTCCCCATTAAACACTAACCCCCAACCCCTGGGGCCCACCATGCTGCTTTCTGTCTCTATGGAACTGCCTGTTCTAGCTACCTCGTATAAAGTGGAATCATACACTGTCCTTTTGCATCTGGCTTATTTCACTTAGCAAAACGTCTTCCAGGTTCATCCAGGCGGCAGCACTGTGTCAGAATTTCCTTCCCTTATTTATTGTGATAAAATACACATAACACAAAATTTACTTCGTTGCTTTTTAAGGCTGAACACTGTTCCACGGCGTGCAAATACCCCATTTTGTTGCCCCATTCATCAGCACGGGGGAACTGGTGAGTTTGAAGGGTCTCCTTATCGGCCACGTGGAGACTGCCGGGGAGGGGGAGCGAGGAGGGCAATCTGGGCCAGGAAGAGCAGCCAGGGCAGGTCAGCACTTCACCTGCGCGACCACCCACCTGCGCCCCACTTTCCCAGGGAGGACCCGGCTCGGAGTAGCCAGGCAACCGCCCCGCCCAGCTCTTCCCGGCCGCCCCCATCCTCTTCCCGGCCGCTGGACCACGCCCCGACATAGCGGCCCGCCCCACCCGCCAGTGCGCATGCGCAGGAGGAGCCGCGTGGAAGGGGCACGGCGCATGCGCGGCAGGCTCCGCTTCCCCGGGCGCGAATCCGCGATCCGGGGTTTGGGCCCCGCCGGGAGCTCTGTTTATAAACACACCGCGCGGCCGCCGGCGAGGGGTAACCCTAAAGGTAGTGCGGTCGGAGGTCAGAGGTCAGCGGGGCGCCAACTGGGAGATCCATCCCTTCGTCTTCGCGGGCTGCTGGCTGCGCGGTGCGTGGCCGGTCTGGCCGCCCTACCGCAGTCCGGGGCTGCCGGGGGCGCCACGTGGTGCGCACGTGGTCCGGTCCCGGCGCTGCGGCCTCCCCTCCCCCACGGCGCCGGCGGCCCCGAAGCGCCTCCTGGCGGCGGCCGCGCGCTCCGCGCTGCACGTCGCGCCTGCGCACAACGCGTCATGACGCGCCTTCCGGTCTGCTGGGTAGGGAGCCGGGCGTGGGTCGGTTGCGTCCTCGTGACCGCCCCGGGGTCCCGGCGAGGGTGGGGCGGCCCGCAAAGGTCACACGTGCGGGGCTGGCCGAGGCTCGGTGACTCCGCGGGAGGGGCCTCCAGCCGTCCACGTGGGTACCGCGGCCGGCGTGTGATGCGCGTGCAAGGAGTCCGCGCTGCGGGCCCGGCTGCAGGGGCTGCGGGCCGCCGCCTCCCCCCACGTGGGGGTTTAAGTGCCCAGAGGGCGTCCCCGCTGGGCTTGTGTCCGTGCGCCCTAAGATGCTCCGGGTGTGTGTAATAAATAGGCGAATAGATGGTGAAATCAGTGAATTATTCAAATATTCAAGAGATGTTTACGGTTTTTTATTCTATCCCCTTCTGCATAGATTTTATTGATGAGATTCTACATGAAAAACACTATTGGGCCCACGCTAAGTTCTTTACATCTATGGTAGTTGTTATTATGGCTGTTGGGGTGTTTTCTTTGCTTTGACTTTATACCGTTGAGTCTAACAGGTTTTGAGGAGGCTCACGTTGAAAAGCCAACCAACAAACTTCCCCGTGACTTTTTCTGCCCTTCGATCGTAAAGGCTCCCAGTTGATTTGCTAACTGCTGGTTGCTCTGAAAAATGAGTATTCCTCAGCAGTTTGCCCACCTCAGCAACATTTTTTAAATACCTAAACTATATGCTGGACCCTGCTCCAGGCTGTAAGGGAGATGGGTCACATCTAGGGGAGAGAAAAAAGCTAAAAGTGGTTACGTTATAAAGGAAAGCCGGGAAGTACTACTCTCAAGATCAGGCTGATGGTACCTGTTAAAAACTGGCTAGAGGAGGAGTGCATACGTACATACACTTATTACAAATTATACTGATATAATGGCTCCCAACCCATGAACTAGTTGCCCACTAAACTTGCTGTCATTAAACGGAATATGTGATATGCACCTTGGTTGATATTGCATTAATGAGTAAGACGGAAATGAAGCCAAAAAGACATAGATCTTTATTCATCGGTGTTGTGAGCAATTTCTTTCCTGCATTGAATCATCATTTTCCAATATTAGATGAATATTTCCTCCATATTTTGTGCTATTCACAATATAATGGCTAAAGACCAGACACAAAAAATTTTAAGTTTAACTACATTATTATTTTTCTCCATTACTTTCTTATGTCTAGAGTAGGACTTGGCAAATGTTTTCCACAAAGGGCTGGATAGTAAATATTTTAGGCTTTGCCAGACACATATGGTCTCTGGCACATATCCTTTGTTTTGTTTTATTTTTTACAAACCTTTAAAAATGGAAAAACCATTCTTAGCTTGAGCAAGGGCCAGATTTGGCCCTCGGGCTCTGAATTATAGCATTTTCAGATTTGCACAGTGTAAATATTTTCTCTGATGGCTGATTTTGAGCTACCAACACAAAGTACCTGGGCTAGGAGTTGCGAAAAGTATTTCTAGGATCCAGATACAATCGATATAAATAACCTTGAACATAGGTCATAGTAAAATCATTAGGAAGTAATGAGTTTTGCGGCCTTGTTCTCAATAGAACTGATTTCACTGTAAGTTTATATCATTTAATTTTTGGTATTGTCTGTGTTTAACCGCCAGCTCAACGAATTCCTGAATATTTAACAGTCAGCTCTCATGAGCCGGCTGCAACTCAACACTGGTCTTACACAAAGTGGATCCGAGGTGGGTCAGCTAGACTTCCGGGATGGTAGACAAAGTTCAGTTTCTTAATCTGGGTTCCGCTTAGACAAACACACCGTAAGGTGACCCCCAGTGAATCACAAGCTGCATCGTCTCCCCTTGAGTGTGGAAGGGACTGTGGCACGCTTCTAACCAAAAGAATTCAGCAAAGGGGATGGGGTGGCATTGCATTGACTGGGTTACATCATGTGAAAAAGGTAATGGATGTCATGCCCATGATCCCAAGACAATTGGAAACAAGGACTCTCCTGTTGGCCTTGCAGGAGCAAACCACCGTGTTGTGAACGGCGCCTGAAGAGTTCACGAGGCAGGGGACCACAGGTGGCCTCTAGGACCTGAGAGCCATCTCTAGCCAACAGCCAGGAAGAATCAGGGGCCCTCAGTCTCACAGCCACAAGGACACGCGTCTGCTAACAACCTGAATGAGCTTGAAAGAGCATTCTTGCCCACTTAAGCCTCCAGATTAGAACACAGCCAGACCGGCACCTGGATTGTAGCTGCCTGAGACCCTGAGCAGATGACCCGGGTCAGCCGTGCCCAGACTCCTGCCCCACGGAAACTGAGATAATACACGTGTGTTGTCTTAAGCTGCTAAATCTGTGGTCATTTGTTACGCAGCAATAGAAAACTGATGCACCATTGTTCACAGGATATGTGCATCTTTCTGTGTGTGTGTCACGTTTCTCAATTTTTAAAGGTTGGGGGGAAGTGTTAACATTACACAATAAAAGTAGCAGGAAGGAACTGTGCAGAATGGTGGCCAGAGTACTCTTGTATGATCTCACTCTGCCGAATCTCGAAGGTGGGTTTTGGTTGGTTGGTTGGTTTGCCCCTAATGAGCTCAGTGTCCTGACTCTGTGACCTGTCTACACTGTGAAGTGGGTGTGAGGTTGAGGGCTAGATTCCAGTGCCTGGGGCTTTCCCTCAGCCCCAGTGCTTCCTACCTGCCTGTGCGTCTCAACGAGCCTCCGTTTCCTCATCTTTAAAATGGGGACGGCAGTGGCACCCGCCTCATGGGATAGCTCGCAGGATCTGGTGAGACAACTCTTTCCAGCGGTCCCTTATAAGTGGACCATATCCCGTGTAGCCCTCACCTGTTATGGAACTGTCAGGGGGCGTGGGGGCTGAGCCCAGCTCGGGTGGGCCCAGATGGGTCTGTACCATGGATGGTGACCCACACAGTGAATGATTAAGGAATCTAAGTCACTCACTGTCTGCCATTCCCTGAGCTGTTCAAGAAAGATCAGACCTCCAATTTGAAGAAATATCTGGTAGAAGATTCTGGAAAAGAGTTCCTATCTTCTAAGAGGCAGCCACGAGAAGAGGTGGCCTTTCCATCTCCAGATGCTGTGGGAGAGGATTTGCTGTGGGTGGCCTGGAGTGATTCGGCCATTAGACTTCCAGGCTGCCACAAGAGGAGAGCAGGGCCAGCCTCATCATCGGCTCAGGGAGCTGGAGCCATGGGGTCGAAAATTCCACCCCAAATTCCATCCACACTCGGGTCTCAGTTGTGTAGACTGAGACATTTTCCCATTGTTTAGACCATTTTGAGTTGGGTCTCCTGGTACCTGACAGGCTGAATTTGCATCCTGTAAAGCCACGTAAAGCCATTAACGAGGGACACTTGACACTGAAGCAGAGAGAGGCCACGTCACTTGCACAAGGCCTCGTGGCTTATGAGGGGCAGGCCTTTACTCCCTCCACAGTTTTGTCTGTTGAAACCCTAATCTGCAGTGTGATGGCATTTGGAGGTGGGACCTTTGGGAGGTCATTAGGTCATGGGGGAGAATGGGAGGAGTACCCTTGTAAGAAGAGAAAGGAGAGCAATCTCTCCCTCCCTCCCTCCTGTAAGTACACAGAGGCAAGGCAGGCAGTCCTCTGCAAACCAGGAAGAGGACAGAGGGCCGTCCGTCCGCAGACTCTGACCTGCCGGCACCTTGATCTTGGACTTCCCAGCGTCTGTGAAAAGTAAATGTACCCAGTCTGGGGGATCTTTGTCGTAGGGGTGAGCTGACTGAGACACTCCCCCACTTCAACCCCTGTGCTCTGCGGCCTCTGGCAACTTGTCCTGAGACACTGATGCGCTCGGGTGAAGTCGCCATTGGCCGCGGTGGTATTTGCCTCTGTATGGTGCCTCCTAACGTGTTCAGAGCCGGGCAGAGGTGCCCCAGATGCTGCTGAGCCCCTGCCTTGAATCTAGCTGAGATGCTGCCATCCCAGCAGGCACTCGGCAGTTGTTAAAGGAATGAAGGTAAGAGGCCTGAGTGCTGAGGAGGTCCTCATTTGTCCTCACTCTAATGTGACCCGAACAACCTTCTAATCCCCCCGTTGAGCCTCAGGGGCAAATGCAGCTCCAGGAAGCATCAAGCCACCGTGGGATCCACACCAACGATGGTGTCCAGGCCTGGGCCTGCCGGCTGGTGCTTTCCCTTCTGTTTCAATTCACCGTGCCTTGTCATCTTCCTTTCACTTTCCAAGCCCGCCCTGGCTTCTGTTGTCACAGGAGCCCACTCAGCCTGCCCAGAGTTCAGCGAAGGCTGACCCAGAGCTGTGGCCCTGTTTGCCAGCCTGCTTTGGCACCTCCACTGGGGAGCCCTCCTGGCTTGCCCGGAAGCCTGCCCCTTCCCAGCCCTGCCTCTTGTGCCTTTGCTCTCATCTGCGGGATTTCACAGCAGAAAACCAGGGTCTCCGGCCCCCTGCCGCAGCCCAGGCGCTTTGCAAGGCCCAGCGGCCCCCTTTGCCGGCCCGCCTTGGCGGAGAAAGCCCCTGCTAATCCGCCCAGACAGGCTCGGGTCGTGAGGTTGGCGGCAGAGACCAGACCAGGCAGGCTGAGGCCTCGGTTCCCAGCCCCCAGCCCATCCGGCTTTATGGCTGAACAAAGGCCTGGCCGGGTCTGGGAGCTCACGCTGCTGCTCTATTGAAATCTCGAGGTGCTTCTCTATTAATCACTCCCTTTGGGGCCTCAGAGGCCAAAAAAGGAGTCAGACAAAACCTCTTTTCTAAGCAGGAAGAGCTTCCCAGAGGCCTGAGCAGAGAGGCTCCCCCAGCCCCTCTCACCAGCCAACAAGACGCCTGGGCCCCGGGGACGTGCAGACAGACAGACAAGAGCCACGCCTGGCTGCCTGGTGCAGGCAGCTGGAATGTGCCGGCTCCGCGGGCCGAGAGCAGGGGTCTCCGGCATGCAGCCCCCTTCCTTGTTCTATTTGAGAAACCAACAAGACCCAGTGAAATTATTTTTTTATGTAGGTACGTAGTAGGAGGATGGAAGAGAAAAGCAAAAATCCCATTTCCCTCCATCTCAGCTCCTTTGTCTCTTTCTGTTTCTCCAGTGTTGCTGTTCTGCATTAACCAGTAACTCATTCTGCATTATCCATTTGTCTCTAAGTATGAGGTTTGGCTTCTCTTTTTAAACAGAAGACACAGGCCAGAACACCAAGCCATCACTTCCCCAGACAAATCCTCATCTCCCCGGGGCAGAAAACCAGGCCTGGTATCTGTGGGCCTGCGTGTGGGTTGTCCCGTGGCAGAGAGAAATGGCCTTTTTATCCAGATGCCATGGCTGCTATCAGGCATGAGGAGCAACAGTCCTAGGCTTTTCTGCCTCTGAGTGGAAGCACGTTCTTTTTCATTAAAGTTTAATAAAAGCATTTTTTTTAAAAAAAAGGAAAGGAAAAAACTTGGCTCAAAGAAGACTTGAGTTCTGTTCATTCACATTCGAGGGCAGAAGTCCACCCAAAACCAGTACACAGCATGAGCTTGGAAAATCAGATGAATCAAGATATAGCACTTCATTGTAAAGGCATCATCCTTGGCCTAGCATGGTAGACAGCGTACTTCAAAGCGTAGATCTTGGCCTGCCTTGGATACGGCGGGAGCCTTGTGATCTAAAACAGATGGTACCCACACCAGGAAGGATGAGGGACAAGTAGCATCTTCTCATTAAATGATCAGAACAGTGCTTGAACCCAAGAGGGCAGACGCTCTTCTCACAAAGAAAGTAAACCTAAGGACCAGATAGTGTGACTTGATTTGTGATGGGCAATGCCTACCCATTCCTGAAAGGTTAACAGAGTTAAATGACCGGAATTTATTCACTTTGGCTGTGTGGATAGTCTAGCTTAGCGAGCGCTGTGGTTAAATAGCAGGGGGAAATCCTACCATGGCAGTTAAAAAGTACTTCTGGACCTTTGCTATTGTGAGATTTTTTTTTTAAATTAAAAAAAGGACACTCTAAAAGAAGAGATGATTCTGATAATGGCTTTACAGTACTTCCTAAGGATCCATCACACGAGTTAAGGGAGGAAATTTAAGGCACAGCTGAGGGCCCGCTCACGATTATTTCAGGAAGTGCCCAGCAGCTCGATGGCTGATCTTGAAAAAAATGCCACTAATAATTGGAAAGTTTTGTGTTTTGCTTTACGGGTTGCAGCACAAATCAATGCACAGGGTCCCACAAAGAAAAAATTCAGAGACGTTCCTGGCACCCCGTCCTCGCCCCACGCATTTATTTTCCGCAAACTGGAGAAGAGGTTGGAGGGCTTCTCAACCTTTGGTCTGACTTCAAAATTCAACAGAGAAGAACAGGGAGGAATCTTGGCTCTTGGGTTCTCCTCTCACTTCCCTTTCTCCTGAGATAGTCCTTCCAAAGCACAAATTTATGGTGTTTTGCAAAGAGTAATTGATCAATGCACATGCTATGCAGTTATTTAAAAGGCTGTCAACTAAGGATTTTTAATAACATGGGGAAATACTACAGAAAGTGAAATGAAAAAAGCAAGATATGAAACTGAGTGTGTGTGTGCGCGCGTGTGCATGTGTGTTGAAGGAAATGCACCAAGCTATTAAAAGTAGTCGGTGAGATTATGCATGCGATTAGTTTCTTTTTTTATATACATTTTCCTAATTTTCTACAATGGTGAACGTATGTTGCATTTCTAATCAGAAGCAGTGTCGTTTTTAAAATGAAATGTAGCAGAAACCGGAACAACTTTCTAATATTCTTTTTCTCTCCAGTGCTCCCTTTTTTTCATGATTGACTTTTGTGGTCCATTTAAGTTCCTTTTATACAATTCTTGCGATGCTAGCTTGTTGCCTGGTAACAATCATTTTTAATGATTGCCTTTTTTCTCACCGGCACTCTTTAGTAAGGCTGCATTGCAGAGCAATCTGGTGTGAAATGATTTCAGACCAGGGCAATAAGCGAAACTATCTGACCTTCTCAATTATCACACCTTCCACCTTATGAGACGTGAACACTGCTGCCAACTTCCCAAAACCTTGCACTTAATAAACGGTCTAGAAAGAATAACACCGTAGAGATGCTTGGTTCCTAGTTTTTGCTTTCACACCCAGCCGTGAAAATCTCTCCTTCTGCCAGTACCTTACACACTGCTGGTCTCCAGAATTCTCTTCTTTGCTCTGTCGTAGCAGATGCATTTGGTTGCCTACCCAGCAGCCCCCCACACCATCCTCCTCCTTTTCTTGCCAAGAGAACCCAGATTTTTGTCCAGATACCCTCTTTCTATCAACTTCAGCAGAGCCGAGCCCATGCTGAAAAGCATGGTGGTCTCAGCCTCTTGCCAGGAAGTGGTTTGAACATGGGCATGCGGTGTAATTTTGGCCAACGAGACATGAGGGGAAGTGGGCTGGAGCAGAGAGCCCCTGAGAAAAGTGTCTTTTTTCCTAAAAAGAGATGCACGAAGCAAAAGTGGCCTCTGGATCCTGGTTTGTGAAGTTTGGGGGCCTAGGC